CATATCCAAGGACCAGTGGTGGGTTTCAAAAAAGTTTGGAACCTCTTCTGTAGGTGTGGCCTGCTTTCCGGGTCCACTGGTTGAATCTCTTCTAATCGGTTCGGTAGATTTGACGAACCGGTTCTACCGAATAGGTGCGAACTGGTAGGAACCCACCTCTGGAATGAGAGTAGAATTTCCATGCCTTATCCTAAGAGATTCTAGTGGATGGGGGATACTCTTCCTGATAGGTGGTCGAAGGCCAGCTGGGAAGATTGGAAATGCTGATCACGTAACCATAGGATGCTGCAACCATAATAAATGCATTGCCAGCTGTGAGGTGCCTGAAGTTTGATCACATGACTGTGGGGACGCTGCAGTGATGGTTTGGTGCAAGGACTGATCATTAATCACTTTTTCCATTAATCACTTTTTTCACTGCCATTGTAATATCGAGCAGTCACTAAACAAATGGTTGTAAATTGAGGACCAACTGTATTTTCATTATTTGGTCTTAAATAAGACTAAAGGCTTCCTACTTCTGATGGAACCAGTTGTTCTGTATTCAGAATTACACTTTCCCCGGTTCATACAAGTCCATAAGATCTTGTGGAAATCCTTTTCTTACTTTCTTTTGGCTGGAGAGATGATCTCCAGAGATCGAACCTGTGACTTTCCGCGTATGAAATGTGAGCTCTCCTGCTGAGTGACAGCCCTTCTCTGCACTTAGTTGAAGCTCCAAGCAAGCGGCTGTCTACCATAATCCTGCAGTCAGCGAAGTCCAGAACCCTGCGACGCTTTTTTTGGTGGATTTGTTTCATTCTGCACTGATCATTTCTTTCTTGTCTTCCTTCAACAGTAATTGTCACAGAAAAGACAAATATACTCTTGCGTTACCTACATCAGCAGTGGGACAAAAAGGTAGGGGTTTTATAAAAATTGTTGTCAAGTGCCATTCTTAGTGTGTGTGTGCATGTTAGAAATAGTATAGGGAGACAGCAGATTAAAAACAACTGATAGATCCGTAACTGTAGTGGAATCTCACTTGGGATAGATAATAAGCGGCTCCTAGCCTATCGGTGCTTGTTTGCACTGCCAGAAGTCTACTTGAAGCAAAATTGATATCGGGTGTTTACTTTGGGGAAGAACTAGAAGTGGCATTCGGCAGGTTCTAATCAGATCTGGAAAACCAGCAGCAGAAATTTGGAATAGTTTGGAGAACCGGTAAATTCCACCTCCGACTGCCCCGTCCCCATCTATTTTCTGCCTCCCAAGTCCCAGCTGATCGGGAGGGAATGGGGATTTTGCAGTAACCTTCCCCTGGAGTAGGGAGGGAATGGAGATTTTGCAGCATCTTTCCCCTGCCCACCAAGCCACACCCACAGAACCGGTAGTAAAATTTTTGAATCACACCACTGGAGAGAATCCAATTTCAAAAACCTTGAGAGAAAAAAATTAGGGGGCTTGAAGGGAGAGGGAGTCAAGCCAATCTAATTTTTCTTGTCTTTTTTTTTCCTCCTCCTGTTAGAATGCAGCAAAGAAAAGAGATCCTGAGCAAGTGGAAATAGAAGGTGAAAACTCCGCCCCACCTCGCAAAATTGCCCGGACAGACAGCCAAGATATGAACGAGGACACTTAAAAATTCTCTCCAGTCTTCTGTGTTAAAATTTACAGGCGCTTCCTGTGTGGGTTTTATTTTTTTATTTTTATTTTTTTCTGTGTGTCTTTCAGTGTGTACACAGGCACGCACATGTACATACACACTCACGCACACTTCCGTCAGCCCTCTGCCTTCCCCATCTCTTCCTCCTGCCCTCCATCGTGCAGCCTATACCATTTCTGACTTTGTAGAAGCCAACGTATTTATTTTGGGGACGGGGGAAGGAGAGGTTTCTTTTTCCATTTTTTTTTTATTATTTATGCGTGCGCTCTCTCTCTCTCTCTCATGTTCAGAGCAAATCAGAAAGTAATGATGTTTAATCTGTGATCAGTGCTTTTTTTAAAAAAAAAATGAAAATAATTCCACTTTTGTGGCTACCCCTTCTTTTTGAGGAATCAGCTGCTCTCTGAAGAGGGAGCTCCATTCACGCTGATGGCACCCCCTCCGCATTGTGTCCTCTGTTCATATTATTGAGAATTTCCATTTCACAATTACTGTACAACTACTGGTGTGTCCTGACTTAGCATTGTTTCGATAACAGGAGGAACTCGTAAGGGGAGGGGGCTGGGCAGAAGGCTTATTTCTTACCCATCCTCCTCCAGGCGTGTTGCTACCTGCATACCATGTTCTGTTTTCCAGCAACGGTGGTGGTGGTGGGGGATCAGGTTGTTTGCGGTGGTCTCTCTTCAGCTGACGATCTCTGGCTGAGATCGTACCCATTTTGCTGGCAAATGTTGTGTTATCATGTTACCTCCTTTGGCCTGTCTCCTCCCCCATGACCCTCTGGCTCCCCCCCTCATCCTGGGAAACTCATTAGCACATCGGTTGGTCGTAGATAGCAAGCAAAAAACCCACTTGGGCTTGCCCCGGAATCTCTTTGGCACCACTCTTTGGATGGACCAGTTGTGTGCAACTTTTCAAGTAGAATAAAGCGGGATGTTTCTCACCACTTTTGACGAGTTCTTGTTTAAAAAAAAAACACCTCTTGTTCGAAACTCTAGGGCAAGGGCCCGCAACATCGCTCTCTACAGCTGCCTGCAGTTCTGAGATTAGTTGCAAACCCCCCTCGTGCAAGAAATCGGATCCCTGGTAAGGGGTCAGCGTCTTGTCTTGTAGCCTGCTGCTTGAAAGAGGTGTGTGTGTGTGTGTGTGTGTGTGTGTGTGTGTTTTCAAGGTCAGAGCTTTGGTTTTGAAATTGATGCTAAATCTGATTTGAAGTTGGAACATTCTTGGTAGGATTGGTACAGTGCAGAATACTCATTCTAAGGTTGGAATATCTTGAGGCCAAAACATTTTAACCTTATAAATAATTCTGCACACTTCTAGTCCCTACTGTTTTTTTTTTTTTTAAAAAAAGCTCTGGACCCATCCATTCATCCTATTCCATGGCCCACCACAGTTTATCCCCAGAGGGAATATAGATTTGAAAGCAGAAAATTTGCCTAACCCACTTTTGTGCAATAAAGTGCTGAATTCTGAGACGCTTTTAACATTTTAAGCCAAGGTGACATGAACTGCCTTACTCGAAGTAATTGTCTGTTGAGCTACAGTCCTCTCTTCTGATTGGCAGCCTCTCACTATGATTGCCTGTCCTTAAGTCAGTTGAGAACTTAACAAATGGGAGAAAACTAGTTCTGATTTCTCAGGCAAATGAAATAGTGACTGGTGGTTTTGGTAACTGGTATGCTGGATATAGAAGTGATACTCGGCCAATGTCCTTTGGCTGTTTCAGTAAGCAAGGTGTGTATGACCATATCCTTGATCTTTTTCCATCAATGTCATGCCAGAACATCAAAGCAAATTGACTTAGTTTAGGGACAATTAGGCGTGAAGGAATGTATGTATGTATGAAGAATGTGTGAATCAGGTGAATTAGACATAACAGCTTATCCACATAAACCAAAGGCGGGGAGCTATGGCCCTTTTATGACTTGTGGACTTCAACTCCCAGAATTCCTGAGTCAGGGCTGGCTCAGGAATTCTGGGAATTGGAGTCCATAAGTCATAAAAGGGCCATAGTCCCCCACCCTCGATATAAGCTGTCGCAGGATGATGTGGATGTGGTTAGTCTCTGAGTTGGTGCAAGTCCTGTGGAATTTCTTTTATTGAGGCAGCTTCCTGTAGTGGATAAGGTGTTGGGAAGCTGTGAGTTCTAGTCCCACCTTAGATATGGAGCTGAGTGGATTTGGGCCAGTCATTCCCAGATCAACCCACCTCAAAGAGGAGTTGTGGGAAAATGGAAGGAGGATTATGCATGTTAGCCACCTTACAAAATAATAAAGGCGGGATTAAAAAAAAAGCAAATAAATTGCACTCGAGACTCCAACTCTGGTATGTTTTAGCTCGATTTAAAAATGCATCCTTTTTATGTTGCCCTTTCTCAACAGCTAAAACTCCCTAATTCTTTTCATGGATGTTTTTCACTTTTTTTTTTGTGATTGTTGTAATCCCTGCTAGGTTTTTACAGTGAAAAGCAGTATCCAATTGTTTTCATTGCCAAGTAATAAACTAGCATAATCTTTAATACAGATTTTGGCGGTTGGCGGGGAGAGGGGAAATCCCTAATGGGCCTAGTTCACACCATGCACCAAGTCAGCGGATTGGTGCGTTTTGATGAATTCTGCAAACTCTACTGATGCATTTTCAAATTATGCATGTGCAATACTTTGTAATCTAGGAAATATAATTTGGTTTAAGTGGATTCTGCCCCACTGGAGAATGTACTCTGTTTATTTCTCAATTCTAAATGTAGAAGTAAAGTAATCTTTTTACTTAATTTGATTGGAATTTTATATGTATAAGGACTTTATGTGGCCTGAAAACTCAAACGGTGCCTTTGTAGTATACCGTCAACACACTCAACTTTCTTTGTCAGCGACGGCAATATGTGACTGTGGAACTGGGAACGTGGCCTGCCCAATTCATAGCTGTACGATGACATAACGCAAAGCCAACCAGATCCTAGTTTCAAATTACAGAGTGAGAACATCAGAATTGAGATGGTAGGCAGCTCATGACTTCGCTTTCTTGTTTGGTTGTTGTGCATCAATTTCACCTTGTGAAATTCTTTTAGCTTCCTTTGGTAGGACCATCTATAAAGCAGAATATGAATGGTTTGGTTTTGACTCAACAAAATGCCCCAACCAGGCTGTAGATTAATGGAAGAGGGGTCAGGTAAACCCAGGTGTTTGTTAAATATGGATTTTTTATGTAAAGTGAACCCCAATGAATGAATAGGCATGAAAGGTCAATTTTAGGGCAGACCATTCTGGAAGATTTGTCTCTGTCATTGCTGAAAGTCAAAGGGACTCAGTGGCTAAGACACTGAGCTTGCCTATCAGAAAGGTCAGCAGTTCGAATCCTTGGGGCCGCGTAAGAGAGTGAGATCCTGTTACTTGTCCCAGCTTCTGCCAACCTAGAAGTTTGAAAGCATGTAAAATGCAAGTAGAAAAATAGGAACCACCTTTAGTAGGAAGGTAAGAGCGTAGCGTTTAGTCATGCCGGCCACATGACCACGGAGATGTCCTTGGACAGCGCTGGCTCTTCTGCTTTGAAACTGAGATGAGCACCATCCCCCTAGAGTCAGGAACGACTAGCGCATATGTGTGAGGGGAACCTTTACCCTTATCTTTTATTCTGGAAGATTTGTCGTTGCTAAAAGTCAATGCCAAATTTGATAAGAATGTAATCAAAATGGTGAATGGATTTCTTTCTGTGGCTCCCAAGATCTGAGAAATCTCTGATACCTAAGGTAGGACTGCTGAATTAGGACTGCAAACACAGATAACCAGTAGATTATAGCAAAAATTAGTGGCTGCCAAGAATTGTGGCAGTTGAGACCTAGCATCTGGCTGTATTTTAGTAAAATGGTCCATGGTGTTAACTCTAGGATTGTCTGTGTACACCTAAGCACCTTTCATAGAACCCATAAAATCCCATGGGTCATCGGACATTTTTAAGGAAACCCTTTAATTAAGGAAATGGGTGGTAGGCTTGCTGACTAGTAGACATGGATGGAAAATTGCATTTGCATGAAGGACTTAACATCCTTCGTGTCAACCTGAGAGACCGCCTACTGCCAATTACCTCCACTAGACCGATACGATCGCATCAATTAGGCCTCCTCCGAATTCCATCTACTAGCCAGTGCAAACTGGCAACTACCCGGAGGAGAGCCTTCTCGGTGGCTGCTCCGACCCTCTGGAACGAACTTCCCGTGGAGATTCGGACCCTCACCACCCTCCAATCCTTCCGCGCTGCTTTGAAGATCTGGCTGTCCCGGCTGGCCTGGGGTTAAGATTCCAACCCCACCCAAATTGTGTGACTGTTGTGCTTTCTTTTAATATGTTGTATTGTTTCCATATTGGAATACTGTTTGTCTTTCCCCCCCTCCCTTTTTGAATTGTGAGCCGCCCTGAGTCCCCCCAGGGAAAAGGGCGGCATACAAATAAAGGAAATTCAAATTCAATTCAAATTTTTGTGAGCAGACAGCCTTTTCCCCCAAAGAAATTTTGTGAGAGCACATGCCATATTCTCAAAGTTCAAAATGTACCCTAAAAAGATCCCTTGCTTAGCTCAAGAGACGAAGCCAGATAGCTTTTAGCTGGATCAGGGTCACCAAAGGCTATTTTAAGCAGTTGCAAAGTGTAACTGCAGCAACATGGAATTAACACATGGTTATATTTCTAAAAGAGCCAGTTTGGTGCAGTGGCTAAGGACTCTAGGCTAAAAAAATGGGAGACTCTTGTCGTGCCACCTTAGGCACAAAGCGAACTGGGCGATCTTGGGCCCATCACTCATCCCTTAAAAAGGAGGCAATAGCAAACTACATCTGAAAAACCTTGCCAAGAAAACTGCAAGGACTACTCCACGAACATCAGTGGTGGGTTTCAAAAAACTTTGGAACCTCTTCTGTAGGTGTGGCCTGCTTTCCGGGTCCACTGGTGGAACCTCTTCTAACCGGTTCGGTAGATTTGACGAACGGGTTCTACCGAACTGGTGCGAACCGGTAGGAACCCACCTTTGACGCACATGTATATACACATTTGATTCACACATATACACATTCTAATACTCTCTGCACGCACATAATCAAATTAAATTTCAGGAAAGGTATTTTTAAAGCCTCTTGGAAGCCTTAAAAAGTAGAATTTTCAGGCAGTGGTTGCTTTTACATACTGCACTAAGTTGTAATGTGGCTCCAATTTGGCACAGCATTTTCTGTGGACCAGCTAAAAGCCAGTGGCCCTGTTCCAACTGAGGCTTCCCAAGAGCATGAAGCAAACTCCCCACAAAAACCCCTTTTATTAATTTACTGTGAATTCTGTTCATTCACATACAGCAAAGACTTTCCAGGGAGGATTTACAGTGACAGACCTTATTGGAGGTCTGGCTTGGAGAGCTGACAAGTCTGATATCTTGGCAAGGAGTCTTGGAGTCATGAGCCAATTAATCAATCTAATTGTCTCCTGCAAACTCCACTCCCCTTTCACTTTTCTTTTATTTCCTCTGGGAGGGGCCATTCATCGTCCACCCGTGGCCTTACTCCCAAGTCAACCCCTGTTCTTTAGCTGTTCCCTTCATCTGGCAACTCTGCACATGTGCACACTGGGAACAGGCTCCAGCTGTTCATCTGCCTCACTGATGTCTGACTCTGAAGGCAGCTGATAACTGGCATACGGCTCTGTCCCCCCTCTGCCTCCGATACAGAGCCCTCATCAGAGCTTTCCCCAGACTCCAGGACTGGCCCATGTTCCTCCTCACTGTCCAAATCTGCTGCCAGTTCCACTGGCTGCTGGTGGGCCACAGCAGGCCCTTTTAGTCACAATTTATATAATCAATATATAGGGATATGCTGAATAAATCAAATTTGATAGGTTTCAGATTAGCCGCCCAGAGTCGCTTGGGTAGTGAGATGGGCGACGTATACATTAAACGAGATCCTCAATCTCCTTATAATGTATCCTCTGAGTGCAGCAAAAGTTATGGGTTGAGCGCCTTGTGTAAATAAATGCTGAAGAAGCTGCTGGTGTCTGCCCCTCCCTACCCGACTTTTTATTCCTTTTGTTGAAATATAACTTTATTGCATTTCTGCCAAATTTACAAAAATATGACAAAAATAACTTAAAAAGAAAATTGAGATTCTCCCACCCTCCTTTGTCTCCTTGCTCAAGTCACAGAAATAAATTAGAATGCAGCAAATCAATAACTTAAAAAAAAAATAGTCCCCTTTGCTTTCCTCCCGTTTTAAAAAAAAACAAAACAAAATTCCCCTCTGGCACAGTGAATTGCTCAGGAGAGTAAGACATTAAAGAGACCAGTGCTTTTGTAGGTACTCCGAGGTCCA